AAAAAAAAAAAAAAAAAAAAAAAAAAAAAAAAACAGGTTTCTTTAAGCGGCTGTAAGGAAAGAACGTGACCGCTATACGCAAGAGGAAAAGTATTGAGAACTAACTGTAGCTTGAACTTCTAGTTTCGTTCTTTTTCCAAAAAACTTCCCACGGCGTACGATAGGAAAGTACTCTGTAACTTTCGCCTGCGCAACTGCTGACCGGCCATCAACTTCTACAAACTTCAATCCATTTCGACGTGACCGGCATGTACGCCTCAAGCTCACTGACATCCCACCAAACCCTTTGGTTTAGTTTCGTTGATCTAATAGTTGTTTTATCCTTAAAAAAATGAAATAGAAAAAGTTACGTTATTCCTCATACACACCAGTGAAAGATTTCAATGTGAAGCTTGTTTTAGATATCCAAAACAGTCAAAAAAATTCCAAAACAACACCATATAACAGCAAACTTCACACAACTTCACGAAGGAGAAATATAAAAATATAGGTATGGGCTTCTTGCTATCAGATTCATCACGACAATCAAAACTAAAACTTAAGAGAAGCCTTGTTCTACCAAATCCAAACAACCTTCGCAGGTGAAACAAATATATTAATGAACAGCAACAAAAAAAATGTACTTATTTTCAAAATGACTATAACCAGAGAAGTAAGCACCACCGATCCTCCAATTCTATTTCATTTAAAAACCCTTATCCCATCTTCTTCATCTATTACAGTCAAATACCGGTACACGGTCTATTGCAACGAGCCTCAATTATCTACCTTAAAAAGAGTCAAACTACTATCAACCAGAGGTCAGACTATCAAGCAGAAAACAATCAGCAACGAAACGTTTCCGGTCCCAAAACAGCTAAACAATAAGTTCTCCAAGATAACAAAGAGTAACAAAAAGCCGACATAGAGGCATTTCAAACAGCAGAGTTCCCGCCAAAAAACCAACAAACAGACTTTAAAAATTCACAACGCTCAAAAGCGCTCTGAGGTGGTGTCGCGTGTTGCGAAATCGTGTTATTTCCGGGACTTTTTGAATATTCACCGTAGTTCGGGAAGTCTTTTGTCCTAGTGAAGATGC